TTATGAAAGATACAAATTTACTTTTATAGTCTAAAACTATTCAATATTTCTGCCGAAACAATTTAAACTCGAAACGTTATAACATACATCTGCTCTTGTGACTAGTTAGTGTCTATGGGGAGCTCAAGTAATTGAGTACAAGAACTCTATGTCAGACAGGCCTTCTATCCAGAGCTACTAATTGTAGGAAAGATATCGGGCTATTGAATCTGTTGCTAGGCAGCACCTTATATCGCAAGATAGTCGAAAGATAGAAGTATTGTTCTTCCGCACAATATGATGTTTAACAGTCAGGCATGTTTTCTATTTATTATCTATTAAAAATAAAATTAAAAGCAACGTTTAACAAAGATACAATAGCAATATATTCTGTTGAAAAATTACTTGAAGCTTTTTTTTTTCTATTAGAAAAATATTATAATAATCCTACTCGTTACAGGAATTTTCTTCTTGACATTCTGTACAACTGCGGTTGATATAGTTGATTTTGTTGTTGAAATTATTTTCGGTTTCTTTTGAGGTATTTCATTTGTACCATTTGATGGACGTTTAAGTGATGTTGAAGTTACTCTTTTATTTTCAATTGTATCCGTATCAAGTGATATTGTTGATGTAACAGGAACTTTATCTAAATCAATATCCATTATACGTACTTTTGTTGGTGTTGTCTTTTTTGGAATTCGTTTAAGCATTGGATTAGTAGGTGAAATAACTTTCTTAGTATTTTCGATAACATTTGGTTTTACTGTTGCTGTTGGTTTATTAAGCATTTGTTTAGTTGATTGAATCGTTTCAGATGATGTTACTTTTTTGACTAATAAAGGTTTTCGTTCATCAAAATCATTATGATCAGATGACGATGATAATTGTCGACGCACTGGTGGCGTTATCCATGAATGATTGTCATCAACAATAGGTTGTTGAGCTTGCTTTGGAATAGTTTGTGATAAAATTGGTTGAGTCGATTTTGGAACACTAAATTTAAAGCAAAATTACGTAGTATTAGATAGAAAATGATTACTTACTTAGAGACTTTTGGATTTGTTAATTCGGTAAGTTCGGGTTGATCAAGAGATGGTGGAGGTGGTGAACTTGATGGTGGAGAAAATGTTGCTTGAACATATTCATCAGTATCAAAATCTAGTGTTTCTAGACAATATTTTAATTAGTTTATCATCAAATAAGTGAATAGATTAACAAAATAACAATTACCAGTTTTTATATTTGTCTTAACTGTTTGTTGTTGTATTCGTCGTCGTCGTTCAAGTTCAGCAATAGGTGTTGGTCGATATTCAGGAACTATTTCAGTAGCATTGGTCGTTTGTGATGGTTGAGTTTGATGTTGATGTAATTGTGTAGCTATTGTACTTATTGCTTGTGTTAATTTTTCTGATGTTTCATTATTATTATTATTAATTGTTGCTTGTGGTGTTGAATTTAATGCATTAGCAAAAACTGTTGTTAAACTTTGTAAAAGTGTATTTTGTAGCATAGATGTGAAATTAATAGAAGGTGTTGAATTTGTTGTTGTTGCTGCTGCTGCTGCTACTGCTGAATTTGCTGTTGCAGCTGTAGATAATTGATTAATAAGTTTATTAAGTGTTTCATTTGCATCTATATTTGATTTTTAAAATGTATTTAGCTTCTTTTTTTTTTTAATTTTTAAAACAAACCTGGTGGTATATTAATTAATGATGATGATGATGATGTTGAAGTTGATGATGTATTTGTATCAACATTTGATTGTGATGATATTTGTATATGTTTAAAATGACAATGAGGTCTTGGACAAGCAACACGAGAGAAAAATGGACATGAAATATCACGAAAATAGTTAGCTGAAGGAAACATGATCTTTTAACTAAATTTATCCACAATAGTTAAGAAACAAAAAGCCAGCTGTTGTAATGACTGTTGACAAATAAAATCATTCGTTTGTTCTATCTACCAGTCGAGTTTTTTTATCGATCCTCTATTTCATGTGTTTGTAGTGTATATATATATAAAGAATACAATTTAAATGAATCATTACAATTCGAACTGCTTATGCAATCACAAAATGAAAATTAGTTTTTAAAAATGAATATTTATAATATACAAAGTCTATTAATAATAAAGATTAACTGTAATATGCAATTCTTCTGTTTGTCTGAAATGAAGGAGTTAATATGACGACATCTTTTATTCGTTACTATAACTTACACTCATTTTAAAATATCATTATGGAATCGGAGATGAAAGAAAAATCGATAACATTTGAGTTCAAAAATTCAGATGTAAGATTTTATAAGATTAGATGAAATCATAAAAAAAGATCGTAGTTTCAGAAATCTTACACTAAATCATACTATAAAAATTCTTGGAAGACCCTACCGTCATATAAGATTTTCTATAGTCTTATAGTAATGTCTTACAAGGTAATCAGATTTTTTTTGAGAATCTAATGATACAATTTAGCATAAGATTTCTGAGACTACTACGATTTTCATCTGATTATTTGATCTGGAATGCTGCAATTTTATATCAAGTTCATTTTCCGACTCTTGAAATTTCATCTTGCCATACTATATTTAATAAAATCATGTACCACTTTCTGACTGTTGTTTTGGTTGTACGGAAGTAACATGAGATCAAAATATGTCTGCAAAAAAAAAATTTCCCTTAAAACAAGTTTTTTTTTAAAAATTACTTGTGGTAGTAGATTCCTTTATGAAAGAAAGAGATCATATCGTTTGTTTTGTGATGTCTTGTAAATGTTTATTGTGTTAGGGATGTGCACTTTTGATTTACTGACTACCGACGTCTCTGATTCAGTGTAGTTACTGTGCACGGACTCACTACCTTCAGTGTGCACTGAAACACACTTCTAAAAAACAAGGCACATTTTGATTGAGTTGATGTCTCAATGTTTTAGTGAATTCAGATGTCAATGTTTCAGTGAATATCAATGTCTATGTAATTGGTGGCTCATTGCCAATATTTACACCCAACACTGCACTTGCAAAAGTTGCGTGCTCTTTATTGAGAGATTGTCTTCTATCATTACCTCCGTATTGAATTAAATATTTCGTTTAAGAGAAGTACGTGTTTTTATTTATTTTTATCAATTTCTATTTATTCTAAAAACAAAGTAATGATTATACATCAAACAACGAAGAAGAGATAGCGAGCAATCAGTCTCACACGTGATAGAGTATAAGAAAATACATATATCGAATTGTTGGCATTTTGATCTATTCCTATCGATATATATTGGTTCGAAACACTTACAAAATGAATCGCATCATTGGCATCGAAAGTAGGAGTAAAAGAAAAAAAACAAGTATGAAAGGAGAGAATAACATCGGTGAGATGTAAAATGTTTTGTATCTATATGATTAACTTGATCGTTGTACTTTTGGTCTAGATGTTTTTTTTTTCTTGTATTAGACCTCGTTGTTTAATACTATTAGATATTGAACTTGAATATGATTTTATTATCAAATGTGAAATAGAAAAACGAATCATAACTTTAACTTTTGATTATTGGATAATAAAGACAGAATTTTATGATCTTCATTCATTTGATATAAATAAAACATTCTTCTTGTTGACACTTGTTGTGATGTAAACTATTCATGCGAACATTTCTTTTCTATTAAATGTGTTTATGTTATGTTGTAAAATCAAAAGAACAAAAACAACAAATTTTTCTGATATTTACATTTAGTTATTGTCAATTTGTTCAAGTAACTTCTTAACCTATTTAACTGAATTGAAGAAAAAATGAATGTGCGTATTTGCCAAAGAGAATAAAAAAACGATAAAAAAAAACCTAAAATGTGACTACTTTTCTTTTTTTATCATATCAAGATATATATATATAACAATGAATTGTCTATCAAGATTTCTTATTAAATATTTATTTAAGATGTCTGTTTGCACTGTCATGTCGTTCGTTCGTTGTCTGTATATGATGTCAACATGAGCCAACTAGTTTTTGTTGCTAATAATCTTAAATATTCTTGAAGATGAAAACTCACATCAAAAACTTTCCTTCATTGTCTATAAATAAAGATCGAAATTAATATTTTGATTTAGTTCATAGGTCATTATCTGTTGTTCGATTACTACCTGTCTAGCACATAATAACGAATATGAAAAGTTCTATTTCTAGTAAAATGGGCCATGTGCATTTTCTGATGATTTCTTTTGCTGTCACGCATGTCGAGATCGATAAGAAGACCTTACCATCTTCTAACACACAAATATACTCGTACACACATTCGTATTATCTGATTCATCATCTTCTTCCATCACGCACCTCGCTCGAAACACATAAGCATGATTCAGTCAAAAAAATGTTTGTAATATAAAAATAATGGAAAAAAAAACTATGCCATTTTCTACTTTCATTACAAAGTAGAGATAAAAAGAAAAAGAAAAAGAAAAGGTGTTAGAGTTTATATATTAGGTGTTGTTGTTTTCGGTTATTATTATAACATCACACACACATTCCTACCTACACCATCAAATCTTTACATGATAACATTTAAAGCACAATAGATGAGTAGAAATCTTTTTGTTTTTTTTTTCTTTATATTATAATTGATTATTTAACACTAATATGAACTTTTATTCTTCCATAAATTTCAACATATTGATGCGGGTTTGCCACAAAGTATAAATTATTAATAATAATTATATATATATGTATACAATAGTGGTTCGAAAGATTACATAATTGAAGAAGCGTATTTCTTTTGTCTCCTTCTAGGTTTTTTTTTCTTCTCTTAATGAACATATCAACATAATACATATATATATATATATATATATGCAATCTTGCACCTCACTAGCTCGTTATCTTTTATTGACTCAAATCAATTGTATTATTTTCTTTCTTCTCTTTCCATACATATAGATGTAAATGATGAAAGTTTATAATTTATCTATAGATAACCATTAGATTTCTCTATTACAGATGATCTTTTATTTAATTTTAAAAAAAAAAAGTCGAAATGCCTGTACTTCCAAGTGATCTGCCAACTAATAAATCCATTAGTAATACAATTGATAATAATTATGATCTACTTGAAATGAAATATTTACGTCCATCAGATTTTAATTTAAAAGATACTATAACCGATGCTAAAATAGCTAATGAATGGGCAGCAAAAAAACTTGTTTGGATCCCTGATGAACAAGAAGGTTTTATCTATGGTCAAATACGTCAAGAAAAAAATGATGGTCAATTAGTAATTGATTTAGACAGTGGTAAACGTATTAATATACAAAAAGATGATACACAACGTGCTAATCCTCCAAAATTTAGTAAAGTTGAAGATATGTCTGAATTAACTTTTTTAAATGATGCATCAGTATTATTTAATTTAAAAGAACGTTATTATTCAGGATTAATTTATACATATTCTGGTTTATTTTGTGTTGTTGTTAATCCATATAAACATTTACCAATTTATTCAAAAAATATTATTGAAATGTATAAACGAAAAAAACGTGAACAAATGCCACCACATATATTTTCTATTGCTGGTGGTGCATATCGTTCAATGTTAGAAAATCGTGAAGATCAATCAATTTTATGCACGTAAGTTAGATCAATAAGACATTTAAAAATTCATATTGGTTTTTTTTTTGTTTTTAGAGGTGAATCTGGTGCTGGTAAAACTGAAAATACAAAAAAAGTTATTCAATATCTAGCTTATACTGCTGCAGCACCTAAAAGTTCTCAACGACCATTGGGAAGTAATATTAATCAATATCAGGTAAATTTCAAGAACAAATCTTTTTTTTCTTTTTATTGATTATTTCAATAAGAAATTTCTTTTTTAGCAACAAGGTACAAAAATCACTGATGTATCTGTATGTAGACAAAACAAAACAAAAGAAACTTGACTTTATATTCATTGTTCGATATTTTTAGGGTGAACTTGAAGAACAACTTCTTCAAGCTAATCCAATTCTTGAAGGTAAAAGAAACAATAACAACAGAAAAAACCTAATTCAATTAATTAATTTTTTGTTTTGTTTAAGCTTTTGGTAATGCTAAAACAGTAAAAAATGATAATTCATCTCGATTTGGTAAATTTATTCGTATAAATTTTGATACATCGGGTTTTATTGCTGGTGCATCAATTGAAACATATTTATTAGAAAAATCTCGTACAATACGTCAAGCTAAACATGAACGAACATTTCATATATTTTATCAATTATTACGTAGTGCTGATACAAAAATGATTACTGATTATTTATTAGAAGATTTTAGTCGTTATCGCTATTTAACAAATGGAAATTTAACAATATCAGGTATTAATGATGGTGAAGAATTTCAAAATATAAAAAAAGCAATGCAAATTATGAATATATCAAATGATGAACTTAATTCAATATTTCGTACAATATCAGCTGTTTTACAAATGGGTAATATGCAGTTTAAACAAGAACGTGATAATGATCAAGCAACATTACCAGATAATACAGTAGCACAAAAAATTTGTCATCTATTAGGAATATCGGTAACAGATTTTGTACGATCATTTTTAAAACCAAAACTTAGTGTTGGAAGAGATTTCGTTACAAAAGCACAATCAAAAGTTCAAGTAAGAGAAAGAAAAAGAAAAAAAACTATTAATCTTTCGTATACAAATAAACTATATTTTTTTTCAGGCTGATTTTGCTGTTGAAGCAATATCAAAAGCTATCTATGAACGTGTGTTCAAATGGATTGTTACACGTATAAATAAATCACTTGATCGAACTAAACGACAAAGTTCATCATTTATTGGAATTCTTGATATAGCTGGTTTTGAAATTTTTCAATCAAATTCTTTTGAACAATTATGTATTAATTATACAAATGAAAAATTACAACAATTATTTAATCATACAATGTTTGTTCTTGAACAAGAAGAATATCGTCGAGAAAATATTGATTGGGCATTTATTGATTTTGGTCTTGATCTTCAACCAACAATTGATCTTATTGAAAAAGTAAATTAAAAATTTTATTTTATTTTTTTCATATTATAATATAATGTTTTAAATTTTATAGCAAATGGGTATTTTAAGTTTATTAGATGATGAATGTTGGTTTCCAAAAGCAACTGATCGAACATATCTCGAGAAATTAATAAATACACATGCTCAACATCCAAAATTCGGTTGTGTATTATATTTATAACATTTTAAAATTTATTTTTTTTAATTTTGTTTGTCTTATGTAGGAAAGCCAAATTATAAAACACCATTTGATTTTAGTATAATGCATTATGCTGGTAAAGTTGATTATTCAACTGATCAATGGTTAACGAAAAATATGGATCCATTAAATGATAATGTTGTTGCTCTTTTACAAACATCAAGTGATCCATTTACACGTGAAATATGGAAAGATGGTAATTTATGATTTCTTTATTGAAAGAAAATAGGAAATAAAGTCTTTTTTTTAATTAAGCTGTTGTTTGGGGAATGAGACCTCGTCTTATTCTTCAAAATTTTTCTTTAATACCTGATTATAGTGAGTTAAGCATGAGAATTGAAGTGTACTGTTATTTGTTTTTGTTTTTGTTTTTGTTTTAATTAAAATTAAATTATTTTTTCTTTTTCTTTTTTGTTTGATTTAGCGGAAATTGTTGGTCTAGCAGTAACAGATCAAAATGATGTAATATCTAATGTAAGATCAAATATAAAAAAAGGAATGTTTAGAACAGTTAGTCAACTTTATAAAGAACAATTAACAAAATTAATGAATACATTAAGAAATACAAAGCCACATTTTGTTCGTTGTATTTTACCAAATCACCACAAAAAGGTCTGCAAAATGAATTTATTTAAAAAATGCATTATTTTTCTTTCTTTATAGGCTGGTGTTATTGATTCACTACTTGTACTCGATCAATTAAGATGTAATGGTGTACTCGAAGGAATTCGTATTTGTAGAAATGGTTTTCCAAATCGAATATTATTTCAAGAGTTTCGTCAACGGTAATATTTATGCATCTTTTTTTTTTCATCATTCAAAACTTTGCAACGCAATTGTAGAAAGTCTAAGAACCGGTGCATCCATTCTAAACATATAACAGGTGAACAATAAGTTTTTAGACATAATGTTTATTTATTTTTGATCCACTAGAAAGTATTTCAGATGAGTAAAGACTAGAGTTTTGTGCGCTGAAAAGAACTATTAAAAAATATTTGAGTAAAAGCTACAGCTTAGTTTAATATTATATTTCATAGAGAAGTATCTTCTGTACAAAATGATTGATTCTGATAATTCAGAAAGCTCCTGACTATTTTTGAACAAAAATAGACACAATATTTCTAAGCCTATGCTCAAATTCTAGTTGCGACTCATAGTTTTTGGCTCTTCTAAAATGCTTTCAAGCAGGCCTAAATGAACAAACATGTGTATCGGAAATGTCAACCCAAAAGTTTCTTTCATAGTGTTTTTTTTCGACTTTTCAAAGATTATTTACATTACTCTCGAACAAAATTTCTAAGCCCATATTCGAAAAGAACACAACATTTCAGTCTTAACTCATCAGAAATACTATCTAGTGAGTCAAAAGTGAACAAACATCCTGTCTAAAATCTTTTTGATCATTCGTTCGAACAAATGATGTTTACCATTTCGGAAAAGTTGCTGGAGCCACTCTTTTTCCTTTTAATCTTTATTGCCTCTTTTTTTATTGTAAAAAAAATCGTGGAGATACACGTTCAAATAGATAGACTTTAAGAATGTTTTTTAACCATATCTGTCGTTTTACTATCGAAATGTTAGCTCTATACTTCTGCCATTCGATCTCAAATTTCGAAATCACATTCGAGAAAGGATATTTTCACAAGATATAATCCAAACCAGTCTCACTAGGGAACATTTTCGATCAATCAATCAATCGCTTTGTTTAACAAAAGCTACTGA